CTAAACTCACAGTCCATTCTGTAAAATCCACTCTGTCCATTCCATCTCAGTGATTGCAAGTAAAAGCTTTGGACTCGCTCTTGAGTTTTTGTTCTCTTTGTCATGACCCATACCCAGTCCATCAGCATGTTGTTTTGGCTCTACCTGTGAAGTGCATTTCCAATCGCAGCCTTCTTCCTGTGCTGGTCCAGGCCACCCCCTCTCTTCCCTGGAATACTGCCCCAGTCTTCACCATTGCCCCCCAAAGTCCACTCCCCTCATTGCAACTGAGTAATTTAAAAATTAAGCTCATTTGTGTCTTCCCTGTCTTAGAATTCTCCAGTAACTAATTGTCTAACTCAAAATATAGTCCAAAGTCTTTCCCTGGCCTACAAGGCCCCACGTGATCTGGCTCCCAGATGTTTCTCTGTCCTCAAACCTGTCACCTTCCCTCTCACTCCACCTTTGCCGGCCCCCTTGCTCCTCTCATACTGTCAGTCACTCTTAGATCTGTGGCCTCTGCCTTTTTCCTCCACGTGGCTTACACATGTCCAACTAATGACATTGCTGGCTCCCTCACTTTCTTCAGGTTGCTGCTAAAACGTTCTCTTTATCACGCAGTTTTGCTCGGCCCGTATACACAGCCACCCCCGCTTACAGCTCTCTTTCCACTTAGCTTTATTTTTTCATAGCATTTATCACCACATGACACCCTTAAAAACATACATTTGTGAATGCATATACTTTTGGCAGGGGGTGGGGGGGGAGGTCTTTTCTCCCTAACTAGAATAGAAGCTCCCCAAGAACAGGAACTGCATCGGTTTTCTGCACTGCTTGATCCCACACAGAATAATTCTTGGCACATCATAGGCACCAATAGATATTTGTTGAATGAGTGAATGGCTGAGGTTTTTTTTTTAATGTTTATTTATTTTTGAGAGAGAGACAGAGTGCGAGCGAGGGAGGGGAAGAGAGGGAGAAACGGACTCTGAAACAGGCTCTAGGCTCCGAGCTGTCAGCACAGAGCCCAACGTGGGGCTTGAACCCGCATACCGCAAGATCATGACCTCAGCTGAAGTTGGACATTCAACCAACTGAGCCACCCAGGAGCTCCTGGATGGTTGGGTTTGAGGAGCCTTTTGTGTTAAAAAATATATATATATATACCGTAGCCCTTTGAAGATTTGTTCTTAGATCAGTTGAGAAATTCCACTGCTACTAGTGAGGTTTATACCTGTTTCTATTGAAAGTGGTATGATTTAAGTAGTTTGAAACATTTACTATTTGTGAGGCACCTAAGAAAATGAAAAAGTACCAGTTAATTAGACTGTTTTCTTATAGTAGGTATACTGTAGGAAAAGACAGGCTGTACCATGTGTCTCTAACACATAGCCGAGTTCCAAAGGCTTTATTTGTTCAGGATGATTTAGACAAGGAGAGGAGAGAAAGTGAAATAATGTTAACTATTCAAAAAACAAATTACATATGTATTTGTATACACACACACTTTTTTTAAGGATTAATTGAAGATGTCAGACCTTTTCCTTTGAGGACAAATTCTTTCTGACTAGAACAGGAGACAGTTAACTTCTGAAAAGCATCAAGACTGATGATTTTGTCTATATAGCATTGACCTGGAAGCTATAGTCTCAACCATTCAGACTAATAAATCAGGCAATTTATATTTAATCATTAACTAACTCCTGAGCTGAACAGATGTTCAAAATTAGAAATGGGTCACCCCAGCCAGGATGACATTACAGGCAATCTATAATGCATTAGAATAAAATTATAGTGATTTTTAACTGTCTAGAAATTTATTACAGGACATGTTCCAACTCTTAAACCCTTGTTAGCCAATGTCAGTAATGATTTATGTTGTGTGGGTGGTATGGTGAAATTATTGACGATTTCAGTAGCCAATAAGCTATGTTTAGTAAATCTTCAAATTTCAAAGCTGTTTTGGAGAATGAGGTGGGTGCACTTTATTGTTTATCATTTACTATCCAAAGACAACAAAGATGGAGGAAAGGCAAATGAGAAATTTCTCTTCGAAATTAATGGATGTATGGTCTGTAGCTAAGGAAGGAAAGTAATGAATTCAATAAAGAGGGCTAAAGAATTGAAGTCCCTTAGTGTTTATATGGCTAACTTGGGATGATCTTTATCAAGCAAAACAAGAAGACAATTTATAATAGCTTTGATAACCATTCTCGTTAATTTCATGACCTCTGGGTTATGGGTAGTATGATGGCTTGCAGGGGACTGGCATTCCAGTCTATTCTGATATATATCATTTTTGCTGTGTTCTCTGTTCTTCACAAGCAAAGCTAAATTCCAGAGTTCTTCTTTGCTTCTGTTATCACATTGCTGATCTTTTTTCAGTTCCTATTAATTTGCATGTGCTTAGAATGTGACACCAATTTTAGCCTGCATTGAAACAAAGTGAATTAGTGAACTATCCTTCAGTTCAGTCAATCCAAAGATACTTAGTGCAGTTTTATGCAAATCCAATATTAAGGCCTCCCCATACTTAACCTGGAAATCAGATTTAAATGGTCATCCAACTACATAGAAGGACTTGAACAGAATCCTTTGAGCGTATTATCTTCAAAGCTAGTGAGATCCTCCCGATGTCCATTTTTTTACATAGGTTATAGGTTTTTCCATCGATAGAGTGATTATATTAGAGAAATAACCTGCATAATACCAGCACTATTCTTTAATTAATAGCATCCAGGATAGGTGGCTCTTTCAGCTTTACATTTAAATTAATTAATATAATTGGTGTTTGTTATTTTCCTTTGTCTGCAAGCAGCTGATAGCCAGTATGCTTAAAATAATATTTGGGGCCACTTGGGTGGCTCCGTCAGTCAACCATGCGACTTCAGCTCAGGTCATGGTCTCATGATTTCTGGGTTCGAGCCCCATGTCAAGCTCTGTGCTGACAGCTCAGAGCCTGGAGCCTCTTTCAGATTCTGTCTCCCCCACCCCGCCCCCTCTCTCTCAAAGATAAAATAAAGATTAAAAAATTTAAAATAATCTTTGTCTAGGGCGGTGTGTAGAACCCTTGTTGCAGAGTGGGAGGAATACAGAGCACTGAAGCCACCATTAAAAATCCCACTGTCACTCAGTCTTGGCCAAAGCTCTTGATGCTCCATTCTCAGAGACAGGAAAGTGACTGTCAGCTTTGGAAGAAAGAGGTCAATCATGATTAAAGCATTAGATCATCCACCAGGAAGGACATAGGAAAGTTCTAATGCCATAACGCAGTAAACTGTGCTGAAGAGAGCATGAGAGCCCCTTCATAATTATGGGTTTCAAACGTAAGAAGGATGAAGATTGCCATGCTTTCCAGTTCAGTTCTGTGCCTTCTAAAAAGGCTGTACAGAAGGATGTAGACTAAACTGAGTGGTGATGTGACTACGTTAAGCGTTTGTTAAGTTGGTGTTCGCCCTGCGGTTACATCTGAGTAATTCGGCCTTTCAGTCAGAGAAGATCCGCTGGGGTCAGTCTATTAAATCGTTTGAAGCTCAAGAGAAGACCCTCTGTGGAGACGTTCTCCTTACAGCAGCATTTGTGTCTTACGTTGGATCCTTTACAAAACAGTACCGCCAGGAGTTGGTAGACTGCAAGTGGGTTCCCTTTCTCCAGCACAAGGTAAGTCACTTCCCTACCTTGTCAGCATTTGGAAGCATCATCTTGAAATTTCAGTAGAAAAAAACAGGAGTCTGGTTGGTTCAGTTGGTTCGGCATCCACCTCTTGATTTCAGCTCAGATCATAATTTTGCCTGCAGCACAGATCCTGCTTGGAATCCTCTCTCTCCTCTCTCCTCTCTCTCTTTGCCCTCCCGTGTTCATGCTGTCTCACTCTCGATCTCATTCCCAAATAAACAAAGTTAACAAAAACAAAAACAGTTTGTATCCCAGGCTCATTTCTACCTCTGTCATGACTGACTGACTGGAAATTCTAGTGTGATGAGGATATGTCTTGTGTGTTACAGTGTTTTTTGCTTTAATGATGGTTTCAACAGAAGGAGGAAAAGTAATAAATTACTTTAATTTTTTTTATTCTAGAGAGAGAATAAGTATGAGCAGGGAAGGGGCAGAGGAAGAGAGAGAATCTTAAGCAGGCTGCACACTCAGAGTGTAGACCAACATAGGACTTGATCCCACGAACTTGTGATCATGACCTGAACCAAAATTAAGAGTTAGACACTCAACCCACTCAGCCACCCAAGTGCCCCAATAAATGATTTTTTATACACTGTAGTGATATAGCTGGAAACCTGCTTTTAACAAAACTGATAACTGAAGTCAAATTTGGGTCATCGTTACAATTTAACATGAAACTTTGTTTTCTTCCTGACATTACGGATTATAAAAGACTTTTTTTTCACAACCACTTACAGATTAAAGGTCAGCATTTTGTATATAAGTATTAAAAATAGCTCAGCCTAAATCGAAAAATTCAAACCCGTCAACAAAGTGAAATCACAGACTTGGAAGATTTAAAAATCATCTATTTTATGATCGCCCTTACACTAATGAGAAAACTGAGTCACACAAGTCTAAGTGGCTTGACTTAGGTCATGTCGAATGGGAAGTCAGACCTCCTGACTCCCAGGCCACTGTTTCCTATGCAACAGTGTGTCGTCTCAGTTGGTGGAAGCCCTTAAGATACCCTACATCTCTCTGTGTATTGATGTTCTACATTAGTAATTATGCCGCAATTTTCACAATAGTTGTTTTCATGACACAAATACATGTCAGTGGAGCTTCTGCAGATTAAATGAAACTTATTAAAAGCATTCCATAATTAATAATTTTAAAGAATAATCCTTTTATAACTCAATTATTTAATATATCTGTGGTATCAAACATTTTTAACGTTGAAGATTTTTTTTTTTAATTTTAGTAAGCATACAGTGCAATATTGGTTTCAGGAGTAGAATTCAGTGATTCATTCCTTATGTACAACACCCAGTGCTCATCACAGTGCCCTCTTTACTACATGTCACCCATTTAGTCCATTCCCCACCCACTTCCCTCCATCAGTCCTCACTTTGTTCTCTAACATTAAATGTGGTTTGTTTCTCCTCTCTCCTCTTTTTACCACTTTTTACCACTGCTTTCCCATAGGTTCATTTGTTTCATCTCTTAAATTCCACATGAGTAAAATCATATGGTATGTGTCTGTCTCCAATTGACTTTTCGCTTAGCACAATACATTCTAGCTCTATCCATGTGGTTGCATTCCTTTTGATGGCTGAGTAAGATTTTCATTGCATATATGTACCACGTCTTTATCTGTTCATCAGTCAGTGGATATAGGGACTCTTTCCGTAGTTTGACTTTTATTGATAATGCTGCTGTAAACGTCAGGGTGCGTGTACTCCTTTGAATCTGTATTTTTGTATCATGTGGAACAAATGTTTGTCCTTACGGAAAGGGGGTTCCAGTTAATGAGCTAGTTATCTTTTACTCCTTTAGATTTGATAACAGCAGAGTGGGAAGACCATGACACCTGTATGAGCCTATGCCAGAGTCCCAAGAGGAGCTAAAATTGCTCAATGTTAATTTTTTAAATTAACTTTCTTCTGAAAGCGTTTGTCCTGCCCTCTCAAGAAGCATCTGTTGTTATTTCTTCTTATCATATAAGGTGTTTCTTTAGGTAACAGTCTCCTAAGTGTCTCTGACTTCTCAGTTTGTCTCAGGTATCCTGGGGATTTAAATGGTTTGTAAGTTTACCAGTCAACAAGTGACTGTGTTTTTTGTGATTTTTTTATTTATTTATTAAAAAATAAATTTAAAAATTAAAAATTTATTAAAAAAAATTTTTTAAGTAGACTCCGTGCCCAGCGTGGGGCTTGAACTCACAACCCTGAAATTGAGACTTGCATCTCTCTTAACTGCACCAGCTGGGCCCTTCTGTTTTTGTGATGTTTTAAGACCTATAAACCAAACATGTCATTTATTAATGACCTTTAAGGTAACCTTGGAAGGAAACTTTTATAAAGTAAGTCAACCATCCTTAATACATTCCTAGAAATGAAGACTTTATATTCTAAATGGATCAATTCTCCCCAATTTTATAAATCAGTTTAACTTAGTTCAAATCAAAACTCCAGGAATTATATTCTTACTTGACCCAGTGATCCTGAAGTTTGTTGGAACAGTATGTTTTTGAGAACACCAAGATAATATTGGACTAGAACAGTAAGAAAGCACTTGTCCTTCGAGATTGTAAAGTATGTTCTAAAACTATGATAATTACAACAAGGTGGTTCCACAGGGGAAATAGAGTTCAGAGCATAGAGTTCAGAAACAATCAAGAATGTTGAGAGATATTTGACACACTTAGTGTGTAAAAGTGTATAAACTCCCACAGACATATCTCTCACCTGCAAATGTTGTACTCATACCCTGTCTTGCCTCCTGATGCTGTAAGATGAACAGCTGACATTTTATCTAAAGGTGATCATATAGGTTTATACTAGTTTCCATCACTTTTCCTTCCTCAAGGATAATTCTAGAGCATTTTTCTCCTCTGATGAATTTTTCCCTGTCTACTATTTCATTACTAGATCATGTCCACAGCATTCACATACGTAGTTATTTCTCTCATGTGAAAAATGCATCAGGGGCACCTGGGTGGCTCAGTCAGTTAAGCGTCTGACTTTGGCTCACAATTCATGAGTTCAAGCCCATTGTCGGGGTCCGTGCTGACTGTTAGAGCTTGGAGCCTGCTTTGAATTCTGTGTCTCCCTCTCTCTCTGCCCCTTCCCCACTCATGCTGTGTCTCTCTCTCTCTCAAAAAAAAAAAAAAAACATTAAAAAATTAAAAAAAAATACACCAACAAATTTCTCCTGAACCCTCCCTGCCTCTCCAGCTACTCCTCCATTTCTCTGTTCTCATTTGCAGTCATCACTTTAGACACCAATCTAGAAACACTGTCTGCAGATCTTCCCTCCATTTTCTGAGTTACTCTGGACAGGCTTTTGTCCCCAACACTCTACCAAAACTCCTATTGTGCAGTTTTGCTTCCACGTTGCTAAGTCTAGTGGTTTGTTTTCCAGTCTCCTCCTACTTGACTCTTGGCTACGCTTGATGTGATTGATTACTCCATCTTTCCATCAGTACCTTCTTTACTAGAGTCCAGAACCTCCCCTCCTCCCCATCTTCCTCCTATGTCACTGGTGAATCTTTCTCAGACTTCATTAATTTATTCCTCTTCTCCCCAATCTTAATGTTGAAATGCCCAGCTTTCAATCTTTGACCTACTTCTCACCAGGTGTGTGGCTTTAAATGTCACTTGTACACCAGTAATTTGCAAAAGTATATCTGTGGCCCAGACCCTGGCATCTTAACTTCTGTGTCAGAAAAATGTCTCACATATAGTGCATCCAAACCAAAATCCTGACCTTCTCCCCGCCCAAAACCTCTTTTACCCAGGCACTCCCAACTTGTTTAATGACAGCTTCACCTTCTGTTGGGCCAAAATCCTTGGAGTCTCCTTGACGTGACTCTTCCCTCTGGCACTCATATCCAGCCCATCCAGGAAATTATACAGGCTATGCCTTCAAAATACATTCAGAATCTGACCAGTTTTCCCCACCTTCACTGCTCCCATCCTGGGCCAAGGCATCATCCCTCTCTTGGATTACTGCAAAAACCTCCTAACTGGTTTCCCTGTTGCTATATTGGTTGTTTCTCTCCAAAATCTCATCTCAATAGCCAGTGTGATTCTTTAAATTTTTTTTTTCAACGTTTATTTATTTTTGGGACAGAGAGAGACAGAGCATGAACAGGGGAGGGGCAGAGAGAGATGGAGACACAGAATTGGAAACAGGCTCCAGGCTCTGAGCCATCAGCCCAGAGTCTGACGCGGGGCTCGAACTCCCGGACCGCGAGATCGTGACCTGGCTGAAGTCGGACGCTTAACCGACTGCGCCACCCAGGCGCCCCCAGTGTGATTCTTTAAAAGTGCAAGTCAGATTAAGTGAATTTTCTTTCAGAATTCTTTCTGTGACTCCTCACTGCACTCTGAGCAAAAGCCAGAAGTCCTATAATGTCTTGTAAACCCCTCTTTGATTTTGCCCCTTTCTCTATCTTACTCCTTATTATTCTTTTCCTCACTGCTCTGCCTTAGTCACACTGCCCAGATACCAGATATGCTCTGACCTCAGGCCCTTTGCCCTTGGTGTTTTTTCTATCTATATAGAGATATAAATAGTTATATATATATATATATATAAATATATATATATATAGTGCTGTAATATAAATATATATTATATATATAAATATATATTTATATATATAAATTATATATTATTATTATATATATATAGTGCTGTAATATAAATAGCTCATTCCCATCCATCAGGTCTTTGTTCAGATGCCATTTTCAAATCTCAGAAAGAATTATAACGTCCATCCCTCAGTATGTCTCATCCCACTCTATTTTTCCCCATAACACTTATCACTTGCTAATATGTTGTTTCACTTATTCATTTACTGTGGTTAACAGCTTTTCCCTCCTTCAGCTGCAGTGTAAGATCCATGGAAGCAAGGGTTCTGTATATTTTGTTAACCTGGCATGGTACCTGGAACGTTGCAGATGTTGAGTATGTCTTTTCATTAAGATGTAAGTTACCCACCATACAATTCACCCCTTTAAAATATTCATTTCAGTGGTGTTTAGCATATCCACAGAGTTGTACAACCATCATCACGGTCACTTCTAGAACATGGTCATCAGCCCCAGAAAAAAAACCCATATCCATTAGCTCCAATCACCCCATTCTCTCCAGGCTTAGGGAATCACCAGTCTGTTTTATGTCTTTTTAGATTTGCCAATATCTAAATGATCTATAGGCAAGTAAGAGGGATGACAACTCTTTCCCACACACATTTTGAGTGTTGAGGGTATTAAGACAAACAGTCTCCGGAGAAAGCCCTCGAGGGAAGTGCGTCCCCAGGGGAGTCGTTCCTGTAACCCAGCCTCATGTTGAAATCACATGGAAGTGAACTTTTAAAACAAATCAATGTCGATTGAAGTAGAATCACTAGTGATGACAGGCTGCCTGTTGGCAGCTGTGGAAAGCTCTCATGGATTCCAGTATGCAGCCTAGGGTTGAGAACCACTGCTTAAGTGAGAACTGATGTTTTGGTGAAGATGAGCAGGTCGTGGGAGCAAGGTTATTTGATCTGAATAGGACCATGATTCTAAAGGGTGTGTGGGAAGAGTTGCAGAATGTGCATCTTGGGGGTGTGAGTGTGGAGGCTGGGTCGGGAAGCAACAGCAGCAGAGTGATGACTGAAAGGATAGGGACAGTGGGCGTACATGGCCTTGAGGGTCCAAATTAAACTGTTACTTAACATGATTTTTATCCAGAGAATAGCTTAGAAGGTAGTGACTGAACAAGACAGGGTAATGGGCATACATGGCCCGTGGGTCCAAGTAAAATTGTTAGCCAAAATTGTTTCCATCTAGAGTTATTGTCCTCTGGGCACTCAGGTGGAAAGACGGACAAGTTCATGGAGACATTTACACTCTCCTCATCGATGTGACTGAGAAGTTAAAGACAGAACAAATACATGGGGTTATTAGTGGTGGTAGCCTTTCTAAGCCTCAGTGCCCTAAGCAAAAACAAGCAAACAACCAGAGATAGCTTCTTTGCAGAACTCTTATAAGTTACCTGAGACATGGAAAAGAGTGAATGTATGTGAATAAATTTTGTAAGGCCTTATAAATGTTAGGTTTTTTTTTCACCTAGAAATGTGAGTGGTGGTTTTTTTGTTTTTTTTTTTTTTCAGTTCAGCAACCCTGTGTGTTTTTGTTTTTCTTGAATTCCAGTATAATTGACATACAGTTAATACTAGTTTGGGGAATACGAAAGAGTGATTCAGCACTTTTATACATCACCTGGTACTCAGCATGATAAGTGTACTCTTGAGTCTCCCTAATTCCCCCATCTTCCACCCACCTGCTCTCTGGTAACTGTCCGTCTGTTCTTGGTATTTAACCATATGGTTTTTTGCTTTGTC